ACTTGCAATTCAGAAAGGGAGGAACACTCACACTAGTGTCATTTTAAGTCAACAGCAACTGGAGTAGAAACTAATTGAGGAGAGTGAAGATTCAGAGGTTTTCATAGAAGCAGAAGAGAACATCTAGTTACAAACTGTAAATTGTACTCAGTGAAGTAGACCTTGTTTACACACACACACACACACACACACACAGAGTCTCAAGTAAAATTCAATTGTTTTCTTCACAGAAGGATCAAGTGGAGAAGAGCTGCACTAATCAGAAGGCACACTGGGAAGCAAGCCCATTCTGTTCTTACAGGATCCCTTCCACTGCAAGCACCAGACCTCAAAACAGCCCAGAGAGAAAGCCTCTCAGACCTAAGCAATTTAAATGCAATGAATGCTATTTGGCTTGTACTTAGTTCCCTTGGAAGTAATGAAAGAGGTAATTAAAGACTGGACAACTACCTTAAGTAAAACATTATTCATTAGAGCAAAAGCATTTCAGAAAAACTGTTTTGAGGCTGTGAAAGCCAACTCCATGCCTGTCTGCATCACTGTGGCTGCCCATTTCCTGAGTGGGGAGCACAGCATCTTCCTGTAGGTCCCACCACAGTGTCTCCACACATGCTGTGGAAAGATCAAGTGGTAAGATTTTCCTGTACTGTCTTCTCCAACAAAATTATTCCTGATTCCAAGCTGCAGTTTTTCCTCACCCAGTCCTTCTATGCTGTCCTGAAACACCTGCCTTGAACTTTCCTCTAGCAGAACAGTGGGAGAAAAGAAAACACTTAAAACCATGTTTTACAGATAATGACTTGTGTCTGATGAAAGTGGATTACCCCAGCTAAGAGGTCTGACACAGAGAGTGAACAAGAGTCAACCAGGAGTGCTTTTGACAAAAGAATTTGATTAGCACCTTGCTTTTGAGAAAGCAAAATATTACCAGCCTCAAAGAATACATCCTAACAATTTAATGGACAGAGCTTGTGGGATAACAACAGAGCAGGTAGTAAATTTCTTCTCTGAATTAAAGGGAGAGCAACATCTGCTATTCAGTCAAGGAAATGTACCTTTTATAAGATCCTAAAGGCAATTTCTCAGGAAAAAAAAGTGATATAGAATATCCAAAACCACTTTAAGTATATTTGTCAAGGTGAAGATAAATTGTAGCATAACTATATCTATGCACGCAGCAAAGCAACAACCCAACCACCACCATAGTATTATTAAAGCATGCAGGGAGTGTCTAAGTTCTCTATAGTAAATCTGAGTATGTCTTAGCTCACCCAACAACTGTCCATAAAAATGGGTTTATATTATCAGTTGAAGTGATCAGTAACAGTACTAACTTCATTTATAGAGTTCAGCTTCAGTCCTTGTGGTTAATTTTATACTACAGACTACTTTACCATCCCATAGCACATCTTAACTAGAACAGTGACTTTGAAATGCACCATTTCACTCTACCACCAGTAATTATTTCTGTCTTCACTGTATGCTTTGCTAGATGCATACAAAGCATAAGGAACTCACAGAATCCCAGAAGAAAACATCATAGTAGATATTTATAAGCAAGCTTAATACTATGATGCAATGGAAAGTACAGCAACAATAGCAGGATAGCACAATCCTAGACCACAGCAAATGAAAACAAGCTCAAAAGCAGTGGCCATACATGTAGAAACAAAGGAAGAAAAACTACTTACCTGTAGAAGACCTTCTGTAGAGAAGGACCTCCAACAGAAGATACCCTTACCTCCACTGCCAACCCTTAAAAGAGATCTGGGAAGGAGTGGATCCTGGCTCCACCCTTTCTGGTCACTCAGATGCATTGCATGCACCTGAGATCCCCTGGATTGGCCCTGCCTTCCCACCAGGTGTTCAATCACTGTTTCAGGCTGTGACATTTCCACTACAGCAGGTCTGTGTAACTGTCAACTAAACCAGCACAACCATCTTCCATGTCAATCTTTTTCAATCCTCCATTCTTATTAGTTGACGCTAAATCATACCTTTTTTAGTTGCAAATACTGACCCTTAATTGAGATAAAATAACCCAGTCATGGAAAGTTCACATGTTCAATGCCTCAGGGATCTACATAAATGAAAATACTTGCAGTACTACTCCATGAAAAGAGGGAAGGGACAACAGTGTTGTTTTGATGACAGGATACCTTAAAAATGTTTTGTGGTGGCATTGACACTGTACTTAGATGGGACTGCTAGTGCATACAAAGGAAACTGAGTCAACACAGGCTTTGCAGGGAGAAATTGCTGTTATTGTCTTCTGTAGCATTTGTAGGACGCAGCTGTCATAGTTACAGGCTATTATGTCTCAAGCTTTTGTGGGTGATTGTGGTTCTTCTGTCTCTACTTTGAATTGAGACTGCTTGCAAGAGTGACTGTTCCTTGGTCAACCACCATGCTGTGCCTTTAATATAACCAGGAGGATCATGAGTAATGACCAAATAGATTGAGTTTTCAGTGTTGTAAATATGGGACTGCAGGCCAGTGCAACAGTGCAATGAAAACACAGTTAATGTCCTCTAGAAATTCTCTAGGTGCATCTTATTCTTCACAATTACAGGTTGTTAACTTGTTGACAAAGTGCTGTATGTGCAGACTGAGAATAAAAAGAGGAAAAGACAAAATTGTTAACATTTCAAAACAAATAAGTAATCATTTTTAACCTTTCTGTATTCTTTTTGCCATTATGACTTGGCTGACTCCCTCACTGTAATGTTATTAAGAACCTTTTTTAAATAGGACAAACACCAGCAAGAAGCAGTTCCAGTAGAGTTGATCTTGTCTCAGGGTAGAAAGAAAGACCAGGTGATGTCTCGAGATCTCTTCTAAAATAGTTTTTCTCCTAAAGCACTCTAAAAAACTGTTCTCTTGGATCAGCGGTAATTTGCATTCTTTTTGCATGGGTGGAAATGAATACACCATCTTCACGCAATAGAAGTCAGACCATGCTGGATTCAGATCAGGCTCATTTTTAGCTACTAGGACTCAAGATATTCAAACACCTGAAATCATCTGACTTTGATGTTATGCACAATGCTTTGCAGATTTTTAATGAGTAAACCTCATATTTAATATATTCTGGATCTAGAAACTAGTTGATGAGTAAGCTGAAAACATTCACTAAAATATTCTTCATATAGCTCAATGTTATTTTTATTCTTCCCATTTAAATTCTTTCTTCCTCCATTTTTCATAGCATTTCAATTAAAGTTAATCTTGAATGACTAAGAAGAAATACTTTTGCAGAAGAGTAAATCATCAGTTCGTTTGCTTAAAGTGATTTTTCTCTTAAACAAACACAAACCCACTAAAATCCACTGAAGATCTGTGATATTTTTTCCCATATTCTGTCTGGCCAAATGATATTTTAGGATTAACTTTCATTAACATTTTACATAAACAGAAAAAAATCAAATTGTGTACAAATTCCTCATAAGCTGTCAATCTGTTAACGAGCTGAACTTAAAAATTCTTTAAAACATTTCTACTTGTGAACAATAGAAAAAGTTAATACAGAATGATATCAAACAGTAGTAATAACTCAGAACAAGCAAACTATCTAGTTTTTGTTTTTCTTTGTGTGGCGTTTTTCTTCTTTTTTTGCAGGCTCTTGGCATTTCTATCATGAGCCTTGACTACAAAAATTCATTATACAGCCAAGATGGAATAAGTGGTATGGCCCTAGAACTGTTCATAACACTCATGTGGAGTAAGAAGTGTTCTTCAGATTTGTTAGAAAGTGTTTTTGTAAATGGGATCAGTGACCTGAAGACAAGCTGCTAAATTTTTGGAGAGGAATTAAATAACAGGAAAGGGTTTCCCACGAATGGATTAATTGAGCCATGGGTCTGGGTCTGTGTATATGAAGCTCTAATGTTGAGTATGGAGATTGGTGCAACTGTATAGAGACATGTGGATTTATTATCTGAAGTGTGAAGGTGCAAGAACAGGTAGCTGAAACCACTGTTGGGGATTGTACTCCAAAGATCAATTGGGTAACACTCTGGATATGCATAATTTCCTCTCATCTTTGGGTACAAGTGTTTTGGAGAACTGTCATTTGCAAGATGCAGCTGCCTTTCACTGGTTGGTATCTGCATGTGTAAGGAGTTCTGTGCAGTGGTTGAATGTGGAGCACTCTGGGACATTTTATTGCATGGGTAGATTAAGGAACCACAAAGCTTGAGCGAGAGGAGTTTGTATCCCTTGAGAGAATTCTGATATCCCAGTGTACGTGTTGATATTCTCTTCTGCATGATGACCTTTCTACATTGGATGGAGTCTGAAAGTATGGGTAGATAAAATACTTTCACTCATTTTTTGAAACCCCAAAATACTAAGGATCATAACCTGTAAAGTGCATCAGGATTCTTTTGACATGTTTTTTTTTCTTTTCAGGCTTCCTCCAAACCCACCCCTCTTTTACAAAGCCATTTAAAGGGTGGTGGTATGTCTAACAAAAACAAAAGAGAAATGCTTTGCTTTTATAGCTAGACAACCAGTCCAGGCAATCAAAGAAATCTTTTATTTATCTTGATGTTAAACTGCATTGCTATGGAAAAAAATCACTGGCTTTGAACATCTTATTTATGAACAGAACCTTACCCAGCTTAGGAAATTTTCATCAAATGAGACAGTGTTTACTGGTGGGGGGCAAAGTGTGTGAGGGAGGTCTTATACAGGGTATGACAGAGTTGTCTGGAAGTTTATGAAAATGCAGATACTGAGCTATCAGCATGCCTGATTAATTAACACTTGTTTATATGCTGGTTCTTTCAGGCTTGTTTCAACAACCCAGAACTGATTCTAAAAAAATCCCTTTGCGGCTTCTTTTCCCTTCCACACACTTAACTCATGATTGCAAAAATCATTACCACTTTTGATTATAATCTTTAATTAGCCGTAAAATGTATGCATTGAATTATTTACTTAGTGTTCATTTCCATCATCATGTTTTGACAGCTTTAGCATTAATAAATCTTTTGTAGACCCAAAACCCTGGATAGCCTCAGACTGAGTTGCTTAAAGACGCATTGCTTTCCAAAGACCTTGAAGAATGGTGTGCCACCAAGGATTTTCAGTCCCAGGTGAGCTTCCTGATCATTAGCCTGTCTCTTCTGTGTACTTTGTAGCTTAATGAATCTTTAAGAGATTTTCTTCTGAGTGGATCCAGTTCAAAAGGAAAGGAAGAGTTAACATTTCCGCACAGCCTGTCAGGTAAGGGTTGTGTGGCTTGAGCCCAAATTCATCACTTGTCTGCTGTGTGGCCTTCTGGGTTTGTTCTGGAGCTGCTCAGTTGATTTTCCACAGAGAAATACTTTGAATATATGTTCTTCTTTATGATATTCTCAAAGGAGCCTTTATCTGTCTCATGGAAGTGACCGAGTAACTTTATACTTGACTCAGTGTTCCTTATGTCTTAAATCTGCATTTCTGGTGAGTGGGTAGAATGGCTCAAAGTGTTCTCAGGGGGGTCCCAGCATCCTCACCCAGGCCTTTATGGCTGGAGATAGCAGAAGTTATGGGTGTCCAATGGGTTTACATAAACCATACCCCACCATGAGATTCACTGGGATGTGGGAGGACAGCTGGCTTTCTGTCCATAACCATGTTAGACCTAGTGGAGTTCCCTGTAATCACTAGCAAGTTGTAGTGTAAGAAAAAGCCTCTGTGACTGGACCTCTTTTTATATCAGACACTGAAATTTCTACCTGTTCACTCCAAGGCTGGTAGCTCAGTACAGCTTCTAGTGAACTGAGGTCACTGGAGTTCTCTGCCACTGTCTGAGGCCATCAGGGTTTTAAGCTGTGGATAAGATGCTGAGGTTTAGGCTTTGTCTGATAATTGCCTTTCTGCGCTTTTCTATCCAATTTGATGAAATTACAGTGTTCATAATTGCAGTCATTGTGGGTAGGTATTTCTGTGTGCATGTAATTTACCAACTTTAATGAGTAAATAAGCAACTAACTGCTGCAGCAAGAGATACTCCCCAAATCTTTAAATAATAATAAATAATAGTGCACTCAGTCTGGAACTACTGCCCCATGTGCAATTACATCCATGCAATAAACCATTTAAAACTGTTGTAAATGCTTTCTGTCATCATTGATGGTAGTAAAATAATTTTGCATGGTTCATTTGTTGCAGCACTTAATTTTCTTTAGTGCTTCTTGTTATGAGAACAAGAATGACTATAGCAAGACTGTTATTACATATTCAGTTTCTGTCAGCAATTTTTAAATTCAAATAAAACTACAGCTGCTCCAAAAGTAATGCCTCCTATTTTGTTATGTTGACAGACAACAACAGAGGTTGATGTCGGTGCAATGGCAGTAGGGATTGAACCTTCCCACCAATATTCCATTACTTTTTGCTGTTGTGTGACTGATAGCAGCAGAGGAGCGGTCTGGCAGAATGGCACCTGACATGGAAGTGTGGATGAGGAAAAGGTGTGGAATTGAATTCCTCCATTCAGAAAAAAAATGCATCCATTGAAATCTTGGTATGTCTCTGGCTATAGCACTGTCACCCTCTGGGCCATATGGCAGTGAGCTGTTTCTCTCTTGCCACTCAATAGCAAGGAGCTTAAACTGATTTATCCTAGTGGGATTCAAGGAGAAAACCTGTCACTGAGGATAAGAAGTGCCTGTAGGTTTGCCTGGCAGGCCAAATGTGAGCCCCCATCTATTGTGCTGGACATAGGAACAGACCATCACCTCTCCCTTTGCTAGACTAGGCTCCAATTAATTTTTTCTCAGAGGTAAACTCTGATACTCAGATACAGTGAACAAATTCAAGTGTTAAGACTATGGCTCCTTTTAGGAGTGCAGTGGAACGGCTCTGCTCCCCCAAACAAAATACTTTTTATGTAAAGTGAGCTAAAATGAAATTCAATGGCTGTTTCTTAGTAGCAGTATCCACTTGGAATTGTACTAAATTTTAACAGCATAACTTAAAATACTCATTCAAATTGGCACTTCTGACTGTCCATACATTGCAATGTCTGCAATTAAAATACACAAGTATGAGTATTGATTGCAAAAGTAACATATTGATAGAATAGAATTTGTATAGTTTGGAAAATACTTCTACTTTCTAGAACAGTGTGACTTTTTGAGGCATCTAAGGTTACTGGGCAGTACTGGTGGCAGGTGGACAGTTGGACTAGATGGTCTTAGAGGTTTTTTCCAACCTTAATGATTCTATGATTCTATGATCCTTGAATACAACATGTTGCATCTCAAGGAGTCATCTTCAGACTTGCTTCCTAGTAAATCAATCTTTTCAACTGCTTTTTCTTGCTAGTCAAGCCTTTATGCTGGTCTTTTCACACAAAAAACAGCCAGGAGTCTGGGGAGTGAGGGCAACATCCTTTCAGAGCAAAATACTTTGATTTGAAAAAGCAAAAATCAGTGAGTGTGACAAAGATCCTTCCCCAAAGCTGCATCTGCCTTCTTAGCAGCAGGTAAGTTCTGTTGCTGATGAGCAGGGAAGCCACAGGAAAGTGGTTAGCACAGCATCAGTGTGAAAATCAGAATGGCTTCAGCTCGAGGCACTGAGAGAAAGCAAAGAGGAGAGGAGAGGCTTTGCTTTGGCTGTGCCAATCTGAGCCTTGTTTGCTCTGCATTTGAGAGGTCTGAGAGGGAGAATTAGCATTTTTGAGTGCATTTCTGAGTAGCAGTTCTTCTACTCTAAGTTGGCCTTAAGTAAACTGGGCCCATAACCTCAGTCCACCATCTCCCCGCCTCGAGGAAAGCATGACATCCTCATCTTTGGCTACTCCATGCTGTGGAGAGGAGCTGAGGAGGGGTAGAAAAGAAGTTAATGTTAATGGGAAATTAATGACAAGTGGGACAGAAAAAACGAGATTGGAAGAGACTGATAAGAAGGGATCTCCTGGGTCATGGAGTACAGTGCTGAGATACGCAAACAAAGTACAGATCGATTAATTAAAATGGAGTACTTTAAAAGGAGTTAATTAAAGATTAATTGATTAAGAATTGGTTACATAATTTATAATCACTATAATTACATTAATTGATTAGTTAGAAGTAACATCTATTAAAATGTATTAAACTTTAGGTCTGGTTGGTGAGTTCACTCTCGCTGATTTATGTATTTTTCTGGTTCCTCTCTTTTGCCTGATAACTGCAAACTTTCATAAAATTCTGGCTAAATTGATTCATGGTCATACTTATCTGGTTTGTTCTTGTTCCTACCTAGAGAGGAGCATGTGCTTTGCCTGACTCAGTGTGTGATGGCTCTGCCAGCTGTTCTGTGTGACCTCCAAGTGCAGAGGTGACAACAGCCATCTGCCTGCCTCTGCCCTCATGGGGTGCTGGGGTCAGGATGAAAACAAAAGCACAGTGCTGCTACCTCTTATCAGGGAGGTCAGTACTGGCCTACATCCCCCCAACCTGTTTCATCAGTGACAGATTAGCCCTGGACTCTTTAATTTATGCATTCCAATTCCATGTTCTGTGTGGAGTCAGGAGTTGGACTTGACGTTCCTTATGGGACCCTTTCAACTTGGGATATTCTACGATTCTATTATAAAATGGAAACAAGTTTTGTACCCTATAGTAGAGACCAATTTCCAGCCGCAGAACATGACTTTCCTAGACCCTCCTGTAACATGGACAGGTAACATGGATGGGTAACATGGATTCCTGGCTGCATACTAGGAAGAGCTTCTTCTCAGAAAGAGTGGTCATGCACCGAAATGGGCTGCTGTCCCTGGAAGTGTTCAAGAAATGTGGAGATGTGGTTTTTAGGGACATGGTTTAGTGGTCAATATTGGTGGTTGTTGGACAGTTAGACTAGATGATCCTAGAGATCTTTTTGAACTGTAATCATTCTGTGATTCTATGATTCTGGTTCTGCAGAGTGGTGACACTCCAGAGAAGTAGCAGGATGTGGTCACTGTGATTGTGGTCAATATCTTGGTAGGTATCTCCAGGCTGTGAATGCTGCCCTAAAATACTCTGCATCATTTGACTTGACAACCTGCGAGAAGCAAGATCTCATTTTTTCAGCTGGCATGTGGAACTATGAGCCTATCTGCCAACATTTACAAGATGTTTCATGGTGACAGTAATTACTGTAATCAGTCCTTTCAGTAGCAGGCTTGAAGCCTACTCTTTCCATTGGCATGGGTGATCTGACTGCAGAACAAATCACGTGTTAACAGCTGGACTAAAAATCCACCCACAGATGTTGCTTAATAGGAGCCTGAGTAAGTCCACCCACTGCTGGTACATTCAGTACTCCTAGAACAGGCAGGTGTATAATCTAGGAAATTTTCCAGTTCAGCCCTCGGAGACATGAATCATTAATGTTTAGTGCGAAGAAATAAGGTCTTTTTTACCCATAGGGAGACAAAATGAAGGGACCACAAACACAGAAAAATGGGATAGGACATCTGGGAGGAAGCAGCCACTTTTTCTTCATGCCAAAACTAGCCATGGGTTTTCAGTATAAGAAATAATGCAGCGGTTTCTCCCTGTACTCCATCATTTTTCATGTGTTATCTGAAGCACTCACAGTGCATACAAGCTGGGGTCAGAGGTGTCAGGTTGTGAATCAACTGAAATATTTAGGGACTGCTGCTGGTGGAAGTGTGCTCACAGAGCTCACTGCTGCGGCTGAACTACTCCAGTTCTCCCTGAGGGAAATGCTCATGGACTCACCTGGGGGCTGGTGTGGCCTGGTCACAATCCTCCCTGTGCTGTGCAAAGCAGAAAGAGGCCCATTGGCCCATTTTCAGGAAAGAAGAGGCTTCTAGGACAGAGCCCACAGAAGGCATTCACACACAGAGCCCTGTGCAATCCCACAACCCTGACACAGTTTTGCAAATGGATAGCCTGAGGAAAAAAAAAAAAAAGAAAAAAGGAAATTCTACTTTTTTTTTTTTTTTTTTTCTTTCTCCCTCTTCTATGGTTACCCTTATTGTCTTTCTGGTCCTTTTCTAAAACTGTAGTATTTTGTTAAAGTGCAGTGGCTCAAACCTCCAGCAGCTGCAGGTGATGCAGAGAGAGTGCCAGAATGGGTGTTCTAAACCTTGACTTTGAGTGGGGGCTTTCATT